AGAGCGTGCCGGGTCATACCAAAAGACATTAAAAGATGGTACTTGTTGTTACCCAGCCTGGCGCTTGGTATTAAGGGGCTACAACAAGGACTGGTTGGCTCGGAGTCAGTATACTGTGTCTGAGTAGGGTGTCCATGTTAAGCTGCGGCATGGTATTTGAGCGGGCTAGCACTATAAATCGGCATTAGTCTGGACTTGTACAACTACAAGCAGACAGACAGACAGACAGACAGACACACACACAGACACACACACACACACACACACACATAGCTACATAAGCACAGTTATCTTGAGTGTTATGTTTAAGCACATTTCACCTCGCATTTCCCATTGAAAATGCTCTTAACATGAGAAATGTCAGAAATATGTTTACACGGTCAGGGTCACAAGACTAGACAAAGCATACAACCCTTAGAATAACTTGGCTTCTGTACATTACAAGACAGTGTTATTCCACTGAATGTTTCATGGTACAAACAGTGAATGTTTTATGTACAAACACTGAATGTTTCATGGTACAAACACAACATTTCATGGTACAAGCAGTGAATGTTTCCTGGTACAAACAATGAATGTTTCAAGTACAAACACTGAATGTTTCATGGTACAAACACTGAATGTTTCATCATGTTCATGTACAAACACTTAATGTTTCATGGTACAAATGGTGAACATGGTGAATGTTTCATGTACAAATGCTGAATGTTTTATGGAACAAACACTGAATGTTTCATGGTACAAACACTGAATGTTTATTGGTACAAACACTGTATGTTTCGTGATACAAACATTGAATGTTTCATGTACAAACACTGAATGTTTCATGGTACAAACACTGAATGTTTCATGGTACAAATAGAATGTTTCAGGGTACAAACACTGAATGTTTCATGATACAAACACTGAATGTTTCCTGTACAGTGAATGTTTCCTGGTACAAACACTGAATGTTTCCTGGTACAAACACTGAATGTTTCATGTAAGTGAATGTTTCCTGGTACAAACACTGAATGTTTCATGATACAAACACTGAATGCTTCATGGTACAATCAGTGAATGTTCCATGTACAGTGAATGTTTCCTGGTACAAACACTGAATGTTTCCTGGTACAAACACTGAATGTTCCCTGGAACAAACACTGAATGTTTCATGCTGCAAACACTGAATGTTTCATGTACAGTGAATGCTTCATGGTACAAACACTGAATGTTTCATGATACAAACACTGAATGTTTCATGGTACAATCAGTGAATGTTCCATGTACAGTGAATGTTTCCTGTTACAAACACTGAATGTTTCCTGGTACAAACACTGAATGTTTCCTGGAACAAACACTGAATGTTTCATGGTACAAACACTGAATGTTTCATGTACAGTGAATGCTTCATGGTACAGACACTGAATGTTTCATGATACAAACACTGAATGTTTCATGATACAAACACTGAATGTTTCATGGTACAAACACTGAATGTTTCATGTACAGTGAATGTTTCATGGTACAAACACTGAATGTTTCCTGGTACAAACACTGAATGTTTCATGTACATTGAATGTTTTATGGTACAAACACTGAATGTTGCATGTACAGTGAATGTTTCCTGGTGCAAACACTGAATTTGTCATGTACAGTGAATGTTTCCTGGTACAAACACTGAATGTTTCATGTACAGTGAATGCTTCATGGTATAAACACTGAATGTTTCATGTACAGTGAATGTTTCATGGTACAAACACTGAATGTTTCATGTACATTGAATGTTTCATGGTACAAACACTGAATGTTTCATATACAGGGAATGTTTCCTGGTACAAACACTGAATGTTTCATGTACATTGAATGTTTCATGGTACAAACACTAAATGTTTCATGTACAGTGAATATTTCCTGGTACAAACACTGAATGTTTCATGTACAGTGAATGCTTCATGGTATAAACACTGAATGATTCATTTACAGTGAATGTTTCCTGGTACAAACACTGAATGTTTCATGCTACAAATGCTGAATGTTTCCCGGTACAAACACTTAATGTTTCATGTACAGTGAATGTTTCATGTACATTGAATGTTTCAAGATACAAACAGAATGTTTCATGGTACAAACACTGAATGTTTCATGTACAAACACTGAATGCTTCATGTACAAACACTGAATGTTTCATGGAACAAACAGTGACTTTCTTTCCCCAACATCAGTGAATCATCATGACCTTTGTCTTGTACAGAAAGAAGCAAACAACAAAGGTCTGAAAGATCAAAATCCCAAAGAAAAGATAATTAATTGCAACATAACAGTTCCCTCCCAGACTCCTAAAGTCATCCACAAGTACAAGTTCCACCCCGTCGCGATCGCCTGTGATGGTATTTTCACATGTATTGATTCTGTGTTGCAGCGAGTGCTGTTAAAAGCAAGTAATGGCTGCGGTAGACGCACACTGGTTATTTCAAGACCCTGAGTCAGCTGCTAAAAGTCCTGTTTAAACTATGTAGGCAGACACTACCAAAGGAACGGAACCAAGCCGTTAACTCCAGATAAACACTATACTATGACCTCTAACCTCACATCCCAAGATACAACTGCCACGGAACATGCTATGCACACAGAAATTTCCATTTTTAAAAAAAAGATTTTTTGGGTTGAAACCGAAGTGTGCAGATCTCATGGGCAGTCAAGTGAAGGTCTTTGATTCTTATCACTCAATAAACCGATTCAGCTTCTTGTAAGCCGCCATCTGAACCTTAAAAACTCCTGATGGGATTTTAAACTAGGGGTGACTATTGGTCTGGAAATCACTATTGCGATAACTATTGATATTGCAAGCAACTATTGCGATAAATGTCGATAGTTCTCAGTGTATCATTTTGGAGTTGAATTAAACCTTGGAACTGAAATTTCCTTTGAATGTGATAACCATAACAACAAATAAAAATTTAAGTTTGAGATATGACTGATTTGTTTTTACCCTAATAACTTAAGAAAAAGAAACTTCTACATTACCATGTGTAAATGACTACCACTCATCATGCTCCTGATCAAAAGAAAAACAATTTTGAACAGTATTGTATGTATTTTATTGACACTGTAAAACTATGGTAAATAGTAAAAAATACAATCGAAACTATCAATATTCCTAACTGAAATCGATACTATTGATGGGAGACTGATTTAACAATCAATTTATTGACTTTAAGTGCTTACCAATAGCAATATATCGATATTTCGATTTATCGTGACACCCCGATGTGAAACGTCCATTGAGCTTTAGCATCAGCAGCTGGTTCACGTTCCAGAAGTTGATAAAAGGTCCAGAATTATTCAAGTCCACTGACCTGTGGCTCTTCGTTTATAATTCCAGTCCCCAGCTTCCTATGCTTGTCGTGAGAGGCAACAAAATGAATTTAGGTGGACAGGCTCTATGGCTCCAATTGTGTGGATCGACGTTCATGATGTCGGTGACTGGATTGTTTGGTTCAGACTAAATTATTTACAGACCACTGGAATATTAATGAGAGTGGCGTAATAAAACAAACAAACAAACAAATTTATGTGCACCAGAGTACCGGTACGTAGTTTTATTGAACACCTCCGGGGTTCGCATTTCGGTCAACCTACATTAACCCATGGATCCATTCCCGTGTTTCTTGCAAATTAGATTTCATTAGCCAATTTGATTTGCTGCGCTACTCAGGCTAACAGACCAATCAGAATGCGAGTTACAAACCAGCCTCAATGTTGGGTTGAACACATCAACAACATGGTGGCCAGACCCGTTGATTACCAGTACAATAGTTTGCCAAATTTGCGAAATTCAACATGGAAAAGCTGACTGACACACAAATGAAAGCCCTCAAAATTCTTGTTGATGGAAAGTATATTTTCATGTCGACCTCCCTTGTCCATTTCCTTTAGTCTTTATCTCGACATTTGATTGGTTGGCAAGATGATAATGAAAATCAAGCGTGGGTAATTTAAGATCACGAGAACTATAGGGATAGATTCAGGGATAAGTGCAGGTTGGCTGAAATGAAAGCCCTGGACATATAGAGGATGTATGGAGACCAAACTGAATTATTCATTTTTCAAAAGACACAAAGGTCTTTTGTTCAATGTTTCATACAATGATGGCAACATTCTGGTGGAGTGTGGTCCGTAGGATCGTTAGGAAGGTGTTGGTTATCATGAATAAACTGTTTTTTTTTTAAGAGATGTTTCTTATCCATTTTCTAATGAATCATGTTGTTTTAGTATATATGTTTAAGAAATGGTTTTGTTTGTTTTGTTTGTTTGTTGTTTAACGCTGCACTTAGCAATATTCCAGCTATATGACGTCAGTCTGTAATAAAATCGAGTCTGAACCAGACAATCCAGTGATTGACATCATGAGCATCGATCCACGCAATTGGGATCGATGACATGTATCAACTAAGTCAGCGAGCCTGGCCACCCGAACCCAGTTAGTCGCCTTTTACGACAAGCATAGTCACCTTTTATGGCAAGTATGGGTTGCTGACGACCTATTCTACCCCGGAATCTTCACGGGTCTTAAGGAAATGGTAAAGTCGTGTAATATCAACAGATATAGTTAACCATATCTATTATAGAATCTTATGTAAAACCAATATGGATACAATAAATTAATTACTTCATTTTCAAATTTGAGATGATGGGTTTGCTGTCTTTTAGTTGATCATGTCAATCAAAGAAAAGAATAAGTCATTAGCTTGCAATTTGACAGTCAGTGCAATGTAACTGATGTTTAACAAACCACATAAATTGGTGCTAATAACTAGACTCTTTAGGTTTTGTTTTCATCACACTGTCATCTCAACTTTAGGACAATGACGAGCTATGTCCACCATGTTTACTGGTCAGAAGGACATTTTCTGCTATGTATCTAACCATTGTTAAAGGCTTCAGCCACCTGTTTAACCTGCATCAACCCTGTAGAATTAAATTGTTTGTTTGTTGTTAAACAACGAGCTCAGCGAAATTCCAGATTTGTCAGTGGTTTGTTGATAATCGAATCTAGCCAAGACAATTCAGTGAGCGATATTATGAGCAATGATTCACGCAGTCGGAGTATGTGGACACCCTATCAGCAACATCACCCAATCTATTGAGTCACTTTTTATGACCAGCACAAGTTGCTGGGGACTCAACACAGGATCGCCAAGCAGGATGGAATTAAGGATCTACAGAGCAAAGTAATACATCTCAACCCGTTCTAAATTAAGATGTATTTGGTTATTTGACCACACATCAAAACATTTTGATTCAGACTGAAATCTTGTCATGCTTGTATGAAAAAATCCCTCGGTGAAATATTTGCAACTGTGTGTATTGTCTAGCAGGAAACACCCTCCAACAACTGTCTAGACACATGGCTGTAAATGTGTTTTACTGCAACACTGTCTGATGATGTGGCGGAAAGGGGTGATGGTGCAGAACATGGTTGCTGCCTCAAAGATCACTGCAGCAAGTTATACTTAGGCTGTAGAAAGAAGGTTGTAGATAGGAGGTGGTGCCACAGTATGTCGTACTATGATGGTACAAGGGAAGCTGCACTACAGAAGGTTGTACAAAGGCTACATATAGAATAACTTCCTGACAACTGATCACTGTCCAAACACAATGCAATGAGCGTCCACTGTGTCTCAACAAACAATGCAGCCTGCATCATAGAAGGATGTACAACGGAGGTTGCACCACAGAAGGATATACAATAGGACGTTGCACCACAGAAGGATGTACAAAAGGAGGTTGCACCACAGAAGGATGTACAAAAGGAGGTTGCACCACAGAAGGATATGCAAAAGGAGGTTGTACAAAGAAGGTTGCACTACAGAAGTTGAGAAAATTAATTAAACTCCTGAACATCCCAAAAATATGCCGACCTCAAACCAGAAGGATGTACAAAAGGACGTTGCACCCCAGAAGGATGTACAAAAGGAGGTTGCACCACAGAAGGATGTACAAAAGGAGGTTGCACCACAGAAGGATGTACAAAAGGAGGTTGCACCACAGAAGGATGTACAAAAGGAGGTTGCACCACAGAAGGATGTACAAAAGGAGGTTGCACCACGGGATGTACAAAAGGAGGTTGCACCACAGAAGGATGTACAAAAGGAGGTTGCACCACAGAAGGATGTACAAAAGGAGGTTGCACCACAGAAGGATGTACAAAAGGAGGTTGCACCACAGAAGGATGTACAAAAGGAGGTTGCACCACAGAAGGATGTACAAAAGGAGGTTGCACCACGGGATGTACACAAGAAGGTTGCATCATAGAAGGATGTACAAAAGGAGATTTCACCACAGTAGGATGTACAAAAGGAGGTTGCACCACGGGATGTACACAAGAAGGTTGCATCATAGAAGGATGTACAAAAGGAGGTTGCACCACAGAAGGATGTACAAAAGGAGGTTGCACCACAGAAGGATGTACAAAAGGAGGTTGCACCACGGGATGTACACAAGGAGGTTGCACCACAGAAGGATGTACAAAAGGAGGTTGCACCACAGAAGGATGTTCAAAAGGAGGTTGCACCACGGGATGTACAAAAGGAGGTTGCACCACAGAAGGATGTACAAAAGGAGGTTGCACCACAGAAGGATGTACAAAAGGAGGTTGCACCACAGTAGGATGTACAAAAGGAGGTTGCACCACAGAAGGATGTACAAAAGGAGGTTGCACCACAGAAGGATGTACAAAAGGAGGTTGCACCACAGAAGGATGTACAAAAGGAGGTTGACCCACAGGATGTACAAAAGGAGGTTGCACCACGGGATGTACACAAGGAGGTTGCATTATAGAAGGATGTACAAAAGGAGGTTGCATCATAGAAGGATGTACAAAAGGAGGTTGCACCACAGTAGGATGAACAAAAGGACGTTGCACCACGGGATGTACACAAGGAGGTTGCATCATAGAAGGATGTACAAAAGGAGGTTGCATCATAGAAGGATGTACAAAAGGAGGTTGCACCACAGTAGGATGTACAAAAGGAGGTTGCACCACGGGATGTACACAAGGAGGTTGCATCATAGAAGGATGTACAAAAGGAGGTTGCATCATAGAAGGATGTACAAAAGGAGGTTGCACCACAGAAGGATGTACAAAAGGAGGTTGACCCACAGGAGGATGTACAAAAGGAGGTTGACCCACTGAAGGATGTACAAAAGGAGGTTGCACCACAGGATGTACAAAAGGAGGTTGCACCACAGAAGGATGTACAAAATGAGGTTGCATCACAGAAGGATGTACAAAGGAGGTTGCACCACAGAAGGATGTACAAAAGGAGGTTGACCCACTGAAGGATGTACAAAAGGAGGTTGCACCACAGGATGTACAAAAGGAGGTTGCACCACAGAAGGATGTGCAAAAGGAGGTTGTATCACAGAAGGATGTACAAGAGGACGTTGCACCACAGAAAGATGTACAAAAGGAGGTTGCACCACAGAAGGATGTACAAAATGAGGTTGCATCACAGAAGGATGTACAAGAGGACGTTGCACCACAGAAGTATGTACAAAAGTACGTTGCACCACAGAAGGATATACAAAAGGAGGTTGTACAAAGATGGTTGCACTACAGAAGTTGAGAAAATTAATTAAACTCCTGAACATCCCAGTCAGATTACCTGGGGCTTGGGGGTCTCCCCGAATGTCCCAACATCATCCCTGTCGCCTTGCATAATGGCATATCCAACTATTCTTACAGTGGAAGAAATTAAGGTGGTCCGTCTGCCCTTTAGATCTTTGTTATAGCTTTCTACTTTCATGGTAGTGATTTATGTTGACCTGCTCAGAGGCCGATATTTGTCTCCTAAATTAGAAATAAAATTTGCCCAAATGGTGTTGTTATAACAATGTTATGGCTCTGTAGAGGTGACTTTTCTTTCACTGATAACAGAACCAATACAGAGGAAGAAGCAGTCACGCTTAGTTTTACATTATTGCATGGAATACAATGTTTAATACAATACCCCTGAATTTGAGAAAATAATAGCAATTTCTCCTCAAGGTTCCAGCTTAGGGCACTTAGTTTAGAAGTCTTGATAAATCCCTGCTAATGTCCCTAGATCCCTGCTAGTGACCCCTAGATCCCTCCAAATGAGCCCTAGAACCTTGCTAGCGACCCCTAGATCCCTCCAAATGAGCCCTAGAACCTTGCTAGCGACCCCTAGATCCCTGCTAGCGACCCCTAGATCCCTGCTAGTGACCCCCAGATCCCTGCTAGTGACCCCTAGAACCTTGCTAGCGACCCCTATATCCCTGCTACTGTCCCTAGATCCCTGCTAGTGACCTCTAGATCCCTGCTAGTGACAACTATATCCCTCCAAATGACCCCTAGATCCCTGCTGGTGGCCCCCTAGATCCCTGCTAGTGACCCCTAGATCCCTCCAAATAACCCCTAGATCCCTGCTGGTGGCCCCCTATATCCCTGCTAGTGACCCCTAGATCCCTCCAACATGTCCAAATGACCCCTAGATCCCTGCTAGTGGCCCCTAGATCCCTCCAAATGACCCCTAGATCCCTGCTGGTGGCCCCCTAGATCCCTGCTGGTGACCCCTAGATCCCTCCAACATGTCCAAATGACCCCTAGATCCCTGCTAGTGGCCCCCTAGATCCCTGCTGGTGACCCCTAGATCCCTCCAACATGTCCAAATGACCCCTAGATCCCTGCTAGTGGCCCCCTAGATCCCTGCTGGTGGCCCCCTCGATCCCTGCTGGTGACCCCTAGATCCCTCCAACATGTCCAAATGACCCCCAGATCCCTGCTAGTGACCCCTAGATCCCTGCTAGTGACCCCTAGATCCCTGCTGGTGACCCCTAGATCCCCTAAATCCTTATTTCCGACAAAAGGAGTATGACAAGGACTCCTGGAATCTAGTTCCCTAGGTTCAAATACTGCTGGAAGGTACATGTCTGCGTAAGACGTTATTCTAAACAACACTTTCTGACTTAATGTTCTTCTTAATGAGGTCAAGTGGAATTTCCAGCTTTTTTTCTAAACCATTAACAATACAGAAAGAAACCTTTGGACAATAAAGTTGTCAGTTTCTGACAATTGAATAATTTTGATATTTCTTGTTTATTGTTAATGCCACACTCAGCAATATTCCAGCTATATGACAGCAGTCCATAAATCATCAAGTCTGGACCAGACAATCCAGTGATTGATATAGTGAATAAAGATCCACATCGTCAGGTTATGCAACTGGGATCGATTACATGCATCAACCAATCCTGTCAGTCGCCTGTTACAAGTTTTGCTATATAAATGCTAGAGTTGTGTTCAACATGTTCAAATTAATTGACTTAATCAATGTGCGATTGGTTTAAATTTTTACCTGAGGAGTCTATGATCGTTTATTTTTCAATCATACATATTAATTGGAATGAATTTCAGAGGGATAAACAATTTAGCATCACATGTAGAAACAGGCAAGGTTTCAAAGACTTGATGTTTCAATGTTGCCAAGTAGTTGTGTTTGTATTGCAAGGTACAGATATATTACAATTTACGAGATTTTCTATCTTATCTATTATTAATTAGATTAAGAATACAAAGTAGTATTGCTCTTATTGTATGTTTTCTCTATTCGCATTCCATCTTCCTGAGGCAAGGGAGTTAACTGACTATAAAAGTCCAGTTTCCACCCTTGCCAAACTAGGCTGGAATTATGGAGTTACATTTTGGCTGGACTACTGCACTATGCATAGTCCCATCAAAATCTTGCAACAAAATCTAAATCGATTTGCAAAGCCTGTGCACCGCTAACTCGTTGTCAACAGATATTTTCCAAATCTTTTCATGTTTTTAATCAAGGTGCTCATGTGATTTGATGCACTCCACAATGTAAGACCCGTTTTATAACAATACAGATCTTGATTATCGATCAGATCGTCTTGGCTGGGTGCCGCCATTTTGTTTGAGGCAAATGCAAGTGATAAGAGAGGTGGAATCTGATTGGTCCATAGGAGAGGCATAGAAGGGACATAACTCGTAATAGCCACTGGTTAGCACTACGATTGAGCCCAGGAATTCCAGCCTAGTTTGGCAAGGGTAGAAACTGGACTTTTAAAGTCAGTTAACTCCCTTGCCTCAGGAAGATGTTCACATTCATGATCTATCCTCATTGGTAATCAATCAATTGATTCTTTAAACCACTGGACATTTTACCCAAATCCCAATACTTAAAAATGTGATAAATGTTTCTTTTTTTCAGAAAAATCCCCACCCACCTCCTCCCACAATTTGTACAAAAAAACAAAAACATCAAGGCCAGAGAACAACCAGTCCTGATCCTCCGCCAAGGCAGATTCCATCAGGCATAAAAGGCCAAATATAGGGAAACTAAAATGAGTGGATTACTGAAAATGAAAGCAATCTTCGTATTGTATCACTATGATTGAGTTTAGCCTATGGGGACGGTCCGGTAGTCTAGTGGTTTAGCAGTTTCTCATCACAACAAAGGTCCAGGTTTGATTCTCTACATGGTTACAATGTGCGAAGCCATTTCTGGTGTCCCTGTTACCGCTAAACAAAGATCTGAGGACACCCGATAACCCATTCAGAACACCCCATGTTAACTTTTTTGAGGTTGAATGATTAAAACACACATTCCGACTGCCACTTTCCTGATCTGGTAAGCGAGACTCTGATTGGTCGGATGAACGGTCATTCTGACATGACATAATGGGATGTCATCAGTCTTTGTTTCACGGCAAGCACTAAGATCTAATTTAAATGAGATTGCTGAAAGCAGCATTAAACCTAACACACTTACCTAAGCCTATGTTCTAGTACAGCACTGTCAGTCGTTCTAATAGCTCAGAGATCAACATTGAAACATAGCCCTGGACAATGAAATGGTCAAACCCACCTGGACAATGAACAGTCAGACGCTCACGGACAATGAACAGTTTGTCCCTTGGCATATTAACAATAACTCAATGTATTCAAAGAGATTGATTTCAAGTAATTCTTCATCCACCATGCCTCAAGGCCTTTCAAGCATGAAGAAAAAACATTGTTCCATAAGCAGCGAGAAATAGAAGATCTGGACTTAGGGAACGGGAGATCAACTACAATTTGCTCTTCCACAAACTAGTCATCCCAATAAACTGTTTTTTATTAACTCAACCCGTCCTTACAAAATGTCACTGCTCTCTGGTTTAAGAGCTGGTGTTATTGCAAAGCTCTATTAAATAATAGGTCCCCATTGCTCGACATGGGGATGAAAGATCTGGTGATCCTTCCTTTGAGGCAGCAACAGATGACTGATGCTGGACACAAGGGGAGTGTTGAGGCGTGACACGCCGAGCTTACCCAAACACTGTCGTACAATGCATACCCACTTATCATCCTGAAAGACAGTCTGTGCATGCTGTATATGATATAGTTATATGTACAGCTTCATTGTATTATCTTGTAAGGTGAGTGAGTTGGCTCTTCCCATGTCAGGAATCGAAACCCGGCATTCATCACAACGACCAAACACCAGGAACTACTCAAAGCCCTATATTCAGGATCGATGTGTTATTGTTTTGTGAAGATGTAATAGTTAGTTACCTGTGCTGTGCTGAATCACAGCCTCATCAGCATGATCAGTATCAGGGGTTATGTGTCTATGTGTGTCTGTGTGTGTCTCCATCATTCTCTGTGTCTTCATGTGTCTATGTGTGTCTCCATCATTCTCTGTGTCTTAATGTGTCTATGTGTGTCTATTTGTGTCTCCATCATTCTCTGTGTGTCTTCACATGTCTATGTGTGTCTATGTGTGTCTCCATCATTCTGTGTGTCTTCATGTGTCTATGTGTGTCTATGTGTGTCTCCATCATTCTCTGTGTGTCCTCACGTGTCAATGTGTGTCTGGGTACTTGGGGTGACTATTGGTCTGGAAATCACTATTGCAATAACTATTGATATTGAAAGAAACTATTGCGATAAATATTGATAGTTTTCAGTGTATCATTTTAGATGGATTTTAGAGTTGAATTAAACCTTGGAACTGAAGTTTCCTTTGAATGTGAGAACCATCAGACTTCCAAACACTCGATTTTCCATCCACGTTTGTCACAAACTCCACTTGACTCACTTGAATCCTCACTTGGCTGCGTTCACGGGCGTGTTTCGGTGACTCAATCGCATGATATGGTAAATACAATCGATACTATTGATCGGAAACTGATTTAACAATCGATTTATTGACTTTAAGTGCCTACCAATAGCAATATATCGATATTTCGATTTATCGTGACACCCCTACTGGGTACCGGCATTATACCGGACTCCACCATGTTTGTTTGATGGTACTAATAAAGTAGCACACGTATTTTGTATCGACTTTGGTAATTAAACATTTCATTTACTTACAAAAGCTAAGCAAAGGTAAGTGGTAAGTACAAGGTTACATAGATATGCATATTGCATTTTAACCATGACTGCAATACAAATTTTGTTGTTGAAAACAGCAAAGGAAATGGAAGAATAATATTCAGTGTTCCATACAAAGAGAAATTGAGTGCATTTGTTGTTAAAACACCACTCTCAGCAATATCCCTGCTATATCATGTCTTATATATAAACATTTCAAGCTGTCAGCATAAACCACGAAATTTATCTTCTAACTCTGTTTTTTTCACCAAAATAATATTCTAATAAGAGCCCCCTATTTCTAATTTTGAGAGCGCCCTGGGCGCTTATTACATCGAATACGGTAGTCGCTTGTAATGACCAACATAGGTTGGAGGCTACCAGTTCTAACCTGGAATCACCACAGGGTCCCAATATGTTGCCACTGATGCTGGGGATGCACCCCGGGTGCACCCCATCTGCCCAGAGAGCGGAAGGTCAGTAGTTCAGTGAAGGCGAATAATGTAGAAATTTTCAATCCACTCACCAAAGTACTTAATGCTTTTTATATATTTGAGTGCAAACTTCATTATCTTTAAAATCAAAAGCCTGAACGCTTATTTCATTGACTGAGAGGGGCAGTCGGGTAACCTAGTGGTTAAAGCGTTCGCACACCACGCTGCAGACCCGGGTTTGATTCCCGACATGGGTACAACGTACGAAGCCCATTTCTGGTGTTCCCCGCCGTGATATTGCTGGAATACTGCTAAAAGTGGCGTAAAACCAAACTCACTCACTCACTCATTGACAGAGATGTAGTTCTATTTTTAGATGACAAGTGTTGAGCATTCCATGTTACTGCGATATGCAGAGTTACTTGATATTGTGTAGTCTGTGAGCCTCTATCAATGTCAGAGTGGATTTTAGGAGTAAGAAGTATCTTTGCTGCGGTAATATGTCATTTTGTATGTCTGTCCGAGATGAAATCTCGAATCCTTTTTGTTATCTGATCAACCAGATTGTCTTCAATGGCAGTCGCAATCTTTGTGAAGTCATTCGAAATGAGAACAGCAATCTGATTGGATGTCCTGTTTTCAACAAAAGGGGGACAACTTGGGATCGACACGGGGTGGTCTGCGATCGAGTCAAGAAAGGTAGGCTTGAAAGGGCAGGGTAAAACTTAAGCTTGATATTGGCCAGTGGACACTCTTGCCTCGGAGTGACATAGGGTGATGAGATGGTTACTTTGTATGGAATTGAATTAACTTGCTGTTAGATAATAAATTTCTGTGTGAAGCATGTTACATGGATGTACCTCTTTTCCCGAGATGAAGTGGCTCGCACCCTGCTCCAGTCGACGGGGCACCTGCAGACCTCGACCTCGCTTCTGAAATACACAATTTTTAATATAATCAAAACATTTTTTCGTATATACATTAGTATTGTGTCTTGGGCTAAGCAGAATCACATATTTCACAAAGGGCAAAAGGCATGCCTTGTACAATATTTTAGGGACATATTGTCTCCATGGTACATTTTTGCATGAAAAGGACCATCTTCACGATTCAAGAGCGTCCTGTAGCCTTTTTTATATCAAAGTCTTGTTTCAACCCTTGCCACATCAAGCCCACTTTCCTGTGCTAAATATGATTGGATTATCGCACATATCAATAGTCCAATCAGAATGTTTCACAAAATCAACATCTACGACTGGTACACCTTCGTTTGAAAGTGATTTACCTCTGGAATATGTCTTTTTCATCTTTAAACCCCCCAAACGATTGCCTATGTTTTGGTATCAGGGATGAATTCGCGCATGTTTTCGTTGTCTGATAAACTTGGTCGTCGCCTATGGTAGTCGCCATCTTTGTGAAGCTATGCGAGATAAGAACAGCGATTTCATTGAATATCGTGTTTTCATTACAAGGGGCACAACTCCCAATCTACGCGAGGTGGCACCAGGGTCGAGCCAAGAAAAGTGGCCTTGATGTGGCAAGGGTAGGAACTAGGCTTTGATATAGGCTAGTGGACACGCTTGCCCCGGGAAGATGGAATAAGACTGATGGGACCCATATCTGAACAGCTGGAATATTGCTGAATGGGGCGTTAAACAACAAACCAAACCAAAAAAATTCACAATCTGCAGAAAAAAGTAAGTGCTTGCATGTTGCCTCATGCCGCAAAAATGTCTATCTTTTCATCATTTGTCAAATATGAGAAATTATCAAATACAACAGCGATAAAATATGAACACAAGTGTGTCCAAACCTCAATATGAACAAAACAAGGCTTTTCTTCACAGGGAACACTTCATTAACTGTGAACTTGATCCTTATCAACATGACAGAGGATTCAATGTTATCTACTGCAGCTTGTAGCCTCGAGACAATCACACGTCCAGTGGAAATGAAACAACTCTGTATCTGGCTCAATAACTACTGGTCATGTTCCAAACAGGTCCGTCAGTAATGAAATGGATCGTCACTCACTCCTGATCCCCCCGTCTGCAATCTGTAGCTGAGAAGTGATGGGCAATCATTGATTGGCAAATAGTCCCTCATTTGGTTTATAGTTAGAGAGGACATCATGAGAAAACATGATGCTCTGGGTAAATATTAATTACTGAATACCAATATATGTTATTATTTAGTGATAGCAAGGAGCCTCGGGAGACTGGAACCTGATCACTCATCTCGGGTTATTAAGTACCCACAATGCACCAGCTGAACATCACTTGAAAATAACAAGCCTATACGCCATAATTCCACCGCATATACAAGCATGCTAGCGGCCTCTCTGTTAGTACATCTATGTATATAGAGTGTGCTGGGACAACACAAAATCAATTTGTGAAATGACAAAGATGGCTAATTAGAAATAGAAATGACGAAAGCCTTTTATCTGTATACACAAGCTCGCACACAAGGATTTAACAATAATTTACATTTAGAAGAAAGCTATACATTTATACTACTCAAAAGAAGTTAAAGAACACTGATTCTTTATGCTACTATAGTGAATCTGTTACGCCAGATAGTTAAACTGTTATGACAGAATACAATATGTAGTATAAAAGAATAAAGTGTTCTTTAACTTTTTTTGAGTAGTGTATACATGTTGCACTTAGTAACATGTATGGGACAGTGATAATGAATAGTGGAACATGGTAATTGCTCAGATTACTGCCATTGACGCCTTGAAATGAACTTTACAGTTGATAGCTCTAGGATGGATATTTATATATAATAAATGCCATACATTGACTCGCTGAAAGTCATATTTGTTGTAGTTTGACTATTATATCAACATAAAGTTTCTATCATGCGCACGGGAGCATCGAAAGTGATTGGTAAAATTGTTCCATGCGAAAAAATATTCGTCAATAGTGATCAGCTGTCGGTGCTACGCTTATGGTTATTAATTTCTTTTAAAAATATATACAGTAAAGCTGCAACTAAAATAACATGATAATGGAATAAATTATTCCTGATAAAATAATAGTTTCAGAAACACATTCTTTAGATCATTTTACCAAAATTCTTTAAAGTTATATCAATGGGTAATTTTTAACTGAATCACGGATAGATTCCGAGGAACGTGTGTACAGCTTATTGTTATTTCCGGCTTAGTTTACGTGACAATACACATGGTAATCTTACTCTCTGCATATAAAACAATGCCTAGCATAACAAGAAATACAATTTAATCATCATGTCTAGTGATATTTTATCTCAAATTTGAAATTTATATTGACCAAGTTTAATTGTTATGATCTGTTTGTTTCCCTGAATTCGCTGAAGGGATACGATGTACTTTTTTTCTGTGGAAGACAAACATCTTTTTATTGCAAATGTAGGGATTGTTTAAGCGCTGGTGACATGCTTCATTCCGATTCACTTTATAGACGGCGTCAATTAGCATTGACTTTGAGGGCTTGTACAGGGGGATCGCCTTATACGTGTGCTCGCCTATTAGACGGCCATATATGGTACTTATTCAATGGTAGATTGTCACAGGGATTCTTCCACTGTCACTGTCAAGTGAGTGAGTGAGTATGGTTTTACGCCGCCTTTTGCAATATTCCAGCAATATCATGGCGGGAGACACCAGAAATGGGCTTCACACATTGTACCCATGTCTGGAATCAATACAGGGTCTTTGGTGTGACGAGCGAACGCTTTAACCACTGGGCTACCCGACCGCCTGATATGTCATAAGAATGGGCCATAACCTGTATCCTATACAGAACACTTCCTCTATGTTAATCAAGTGCCATTTAAAGACAATCATTTGTCGTTAGCATAAAGGATGGCCCACCAAAAGATTTATTGTCTTCATATTGCTCCCATAGGTAACAAACGTTCAGATTCTCAAGTTTGTCACATTCCAAGGTTTCTAACTTAATATATACTACTCAAAAGAAGTTAAAGAACACCCAATGTTTCTGGCATGCAAAAATACAACTTCATTTGAGGAGTATATGTCCACTTGCCCAAGACAAAATTCGGAAACAACTAGTGACTCATTGTGGACGACCACTTTTGATATTAGGTTTTGTTTGTTTGTTTGTTAAGCTGACACACCGTGATATAACTGGCATACTGTTCAAAGTATCATTGTCATACCTCCATGTCAGAATGATGAGATCTGATTGATCCACATGATCTTAATAAAATACCGTGAAACCCGCCTTTGAGGGGTATAAATTTCTCAGCAAGGGAATAAATCTCTTATACCATGTATACCCCGCCCTGAACAATACAGGGTGCACGTGAATTTCTGAGAAGCAGAATAAATCGCTTATACCCCCTTAAAGCATGCTTTTGTCCGAGTCAGGCGAAGTCACATGACAAAGCACAAGTTAACCTCAGCTCAATCGAACAGCTGTTTTCTATCAATTTCAATCTCATAAAAAATCAGATATTAGTTTTCGCTACCTCTAAACAAAGATCTGAGGACATCCCATTACGGGTCACATCAGAACGACCTTTCGCAAATTTTGACTGAACAATGAAATGACTGACAAGAAATTGACATTAGCCAATCAGAAGGCAGCTTTCTCGAGCTTTACGACACTAATTTCAAATTGGCGACTACGCTCCGAAAACATATCTTGATGTATTCTCGATTAAAAAAATTAAAACTGATAAGAATTACATTCTGGAATGGCTTATAGATGGCCTAGATTGTAATGGATGTAATCATAAAACCTGTAACTGTCGTTCAGAATACCCCGTGTTAAATATTTCGTGGTTGCATGATTAGAAAACACATTCCGACTGTCACTTTCATAATCTGGTAAGTGACGCTCTGATTGGTTGGATGAAAGGTCGTTCTGATGTGACCCGTATTGGGATGTCCTCAGATCTTTGTTTAGCGATAGCGAGAACTAAGATCTGATTTTAATGAGATTGCTATCAATTTTGAATTTGTGTTAATTCTTTTACAATGTCACATGTTGGTACAATAAATGTCAGTAAAACATGTCAGTAAGATAAATTCATTGTGGCAGGATCATGGGGTTTTATTAGTCCGAGGTTAGGTTTTATTCCACTCGCTCCGGGACGTGGTATAAAACCCAACGTGGGATGCATAAAACACCATGTACCCCTCGTGACCCCGCTACAACTTATATTATACCACACTCAGCCAGCCATCATGTATTCAATTTTGTTTCTGTTCAAGGCCAACTGCGTCACTAATTCACAGAAAGCTGATACTGTGGTGATAATGGAAGATTAAATTAACTTTTTTGTCTTTCAAATAGAAAAAAATAACATTATTATAATCATGATAATTACATGTTCGCCTAAAATAGGACTTAGGGATGATAAAGAGCCTGAATTATTCATGCAACACATACAAAATCCATATAACTGAATATATATTTCATCATAATTTCATTTATCATGTTTACATTGTCATAAAATAGATAAAAAAATATATTTCCAGAGAAAAAAATATAGATAATAATTAATCTGAAATTGCAGTGTATTCATAGTATGTATAGAGGGGAGCCATAGATTGCAAAGGTCTGGTTATATTTGTGAATAATGTTTTTTATGAATAAGTACAGTACTTACTGAAGCATGATAAAGCCCTTGTACAGATATGGGTACATGTACATCAAAACAAGCCGAGTCAGCAGGAATGAGGGAGAGCATGGTTTCATCAGAGTTATATTTAGCTGCAGCCTACTTCCACTGAACATTCAGAAGGAACCTTGACTCAAATTACATGGACACAATGGTATCCACTGGAGGTGGGTTACAAGCATTGCCACAATGATAATCTCAGGTCTGGAATGTAAGTTCATTAAACAAGACTCTTTTTTACTTTATTGATTCCAGAAATCCCCAAATGATATGTGGCAAATGTAAAATCTGA